GTTACAAAGCTCATCTGACCTACCAAGTTTAATATTCAAAAAGGAGGAAAAAATCATCTTTGTGCAGAAATGTTTTACTGTTTTGTGGCTTTTACTATCCTGGTAGATACACATATATATTTAATATATATATATATGAGGTGCAGGACTTCACTGTGCACTCTGGAAAACCAGGATCCATACTCTGATAAGCTGTCATATGGAGTAAGCTACAGTCAAGGTTTAAGAGCCTAAATGTTTTGAATTTTTTCCTCAGACGGTTTGTATCCTTTCAAATCTTGCTCAGCTTCCTCCTATCCCTTACCCCTTCTGTAGTGGTGCAAGGGGCAAATCCACTGCAATGAAATTTTACACCTGAATAAACCCCCTGACATAACAGGCACACATGGTTCTGTTGCCACTCCTCCTCTAACGCTGGTGTACTGTTTATTTACAGATCTGTGAGCAGATCACTTTGGTATTAGTTATCAGCAAAGCAAACCCCCAAACTATTGTCAGGAACATGAACAAAAACTTGTTGGACAGATACTCAACTTCTTCCCCTTGAGTGAAATCTGTTCAGCCTCTCCTGACTTCTGCTTCCTCCAAAGCAAAGCCCAAACCTCCCAAGCTTCCTGAATCACTGTAATTGTTCAGGAGTTAGACAGTTTAGCTATTTAGTGGCCTGGTGATCGATTTTGCCCTCAGAATCCCTGAATGCCTTCGTTTTCCCCATCCTTTGCTTGCCACATAAATAGGCCTTCTGTCATGGCAGTAGCCACCATGTGATGCTGATGTGTAGTTTACTGCACTCATAACCCCTTTCAGTGACCTCACAGAAATAACAGCTTTTGTCCTCACATGAGACTGGCTGACATGAAATGACTAGCAAAGTATTTATTTGTTGTGGTTTTTAATAATAAAAAAAATTACCTGCCGAGTGTTTTTAAAGACTTCAAATTAGAGAAGATTTTGAATTAGCTGCTTGGTTGTGGTTGGGGGGGGGGGGGGGGCACGTAAGTAAACTGATTCTGATAAAACCTTTGATGAATGTTTTATTAGATAATACACATTCATACTTACAGTGCCTCTTAAAGCAGGGGAAGGTGTACCAGGATTCCTAAGATGTGACAAGCTATGTGGAGATGGCCATTTTACACATTATTATCATGCACTTCTCCAGCCTGAAATCCCCCTAATTCCTTGTCCTCCTTCCATTTCTCCTTGGCCCTTCCCACTACCAAACCAGCATCAGTTAAGGAGCACAGCCTCTGTTCTCCACCCACACAGCCAAGGTAAAACCAGTCCTTGGGAGCTCCTGAAGGTTACAGCCCATCTTCTGCTTCTCATTTCCACTTTGCTTTTCCTCTTGTCTCCTTGGGCAGCAGGAAGGAAGGAAAGCATTCCAGCTGACTGGCAGCTATGTCAGCTTTGGCTCTTACCCAGAAAGACTGGGTAAGTACTGTCCCTTATCCCCTCAAATATACAGGTGTTTCTAATGGAAACAGAGCACAATGTATTCACCACAGGAGTCCAGACACTGGCTGTACATCTATCTTCTCAATACAGCAGAGAATCACAGAATGGTTTGGGGTGGAAGGGACCTTAAAGCTCATCTCATTCCACATGTCTGCTGTGAGACACCTTCCAGTAGACCACGTTACTCCGAGCCCCACCCGCTCTGTAATTTGGCCTTTATTATATAGCATAAAGTCAGCATAAACCAGATTACAATTCTGCCTGGGAAATTAATTGAGAACTCAGGTACCTAAGGGTCTTTGCAATCCATAGATCAAATATAGACTTAAAAATAGTAACTACCAAGATCCAGAGAGATACAGAATGCTGATCCCTCCCTGTGTCCTTTTGCTTAAACAAGGTTCTACAAAGAGTGGGTTTTGTGTGTTTTGAAGTATTTTGTTTTCAAGACTACAAATTCTTTAATAAAGAAATCTTTACATACAGGTATTTCATTCCCAGACTTGGTATAAGGAAGTCATTATCACTAGTGCATCACAAGGAAGGAGGAAAGGAAGCAGAGGGAAGTGACTTGATGTTTCTTTCCCCACCCAGGTAAAACAATGCCAGGAACAGAACCAGGTTACCCACTTTGCTGCCCAGGCCTCAGTGCCTGCCAGGTGTGGAACTGCAAAGGACCAGAGACAGAGACACTACAGCAACAAGTAACAGCAGGGAACTGGAGGTTTATGAAGAGCACAAACCTGCCAGAGCCACAGCCAATTCTGTTACGCCTAAATTTCCTTCTAGGCAGGGCTATAAAACCAAGCTACCACCGACAGACCAAACAAGCTCCACCTTCACCTCTTTCCAGCTACACGGCCCCTTTCTGTGACGAACTAACGCGACACATCCAGCGGCGTCACCCCAGGAAGGGCTCCTCCGCTGGACTCAAGTGCCAGTTGCATTTGGGTGCCTCTGATACTCAGCAATAAGGCTGAGTGATCCTTCTGCAGCACCTCCTAAGAGACTGGCAGGGAGGAGGAGAATCCTGCCTAAAAGTTAGGCAGCACTGACTCCCAAATACTGCATATAAATAAAGATTCATGCACATGGGAACTGGCTGCTCGCTTTGGAAAATATTGCCAAAGTATCTGAGCCAGTTTGAAACCAAGGGGAAGGACAAGACAGGTAGGAGATCAGTGTTACTTGAGATGAGGAACAGAACTGAGGGAAAAGAAAAACACTTCAGGGAGCAATGATGAGCAGAAAAAAAAAAGATGTTTTAAAACTCTGTCACAAATATTTGTGCAAAATGTGTTAGGGAACTATATGGGAGTTTTGCCTATTCCAGACCCTGGACACCCAGAAAACAATGCAGGAAATGCTATATTCCACTGAGGAAGGATAAAACATTTCAGTATTCTTTCTCTTCCCCTTTCTCCCCCCTTCTGTGGGGGCAGCTGTGTGAAATTCCTGAAGTTGCAACCTTGGAGGAATTGTCAGGAAAAAATTACAACTGCCAGGAAAGGAGGTGGTGATCTCTTCTTTTATCAGCCTGCTGTTACATACGAAAATGTTATATACGTAAAATCCAATAAATAAATAAGGCAGTGTGGACAGTCCCGGGCAGACAGGCAGCTCTGCCAGGCTCCAGCCCTGCCAGGCTCCAGCCCTGCCAGGCTCCAGCCCTGCCAGGCTCCAGCCCTGCCAGGCTCCAGCCCTGCCAGGCTCCAGCCCTGCCAGGCTCCAGCCCTGCCAGGCTCCAGCCCTGCCAGCAGCAATTCCCAGTGCCTGGGACACCGCAGCGAGGAGTGCCACCAGTGCCCCGGGAAAGCAGGGTCCTGCAGGAGCACCCCGGGCGGAAAGCAGGATGTGCCGGCAGGGATTCAGTTCCACTGTCCCTTACACTGACGGCCAGAGATAATGCTCTCACTCTTCAGAGCACACGGGGAGACTGTTCTCTGCTGAGAACGTAACAGCTCTCCCGCATTTCGCCTTCCAGCAAACGGGTTTCCCCCCTGTAGCGGGATCTGACGGCACCATGGGAGGGGCTGATCAGTCAGGCCTGGCTTCCTCCATCACTCTACTGGTCTAACTGCGGAAAAGCCGAGAACTGGGAGGCTTTTCTGCACTCTGCAAACAGAGAGGCTTGAGACAAATTTCACATAATCCATACCTACAGAAAGTAATCCATAAAGCAACATCTACTGGAGCAATTTCAGAAATACACTTCACAACACCTGCAGAATTAAAAGCAGTTTTTGTATTGCTCATGTATTTTTATCACTGATTACCTTCAAGATAAACACAAAGAAATAAATAACTTTATTTCTTCATTCCATTTTGATAAAAAGAATGAAAATGTAATTTAAGCTCACTCAAGGAAAGAAGAAGCTACTGAGAACGTTCAGTAGATGTATAAGTGACATGAGAAGTGTAGTTAAAACTTTTCACAATGCTTTCATATTTCAACAAGTAGTTACATTTATAAAATAACAGCAAGTTTTAGAAAAATCTACCAGAGTTATATTAAAAAAAATTTAAAAAAAATCAATAAGATCGTTGACTGAGCCCTTAAAAATTACAGGGTGCAATTTGAGAAAAAACTCACCCAACTCTACTTATTAATATTAAATAACCCAAGAGTTGTGGTAGCTTCTGGGAAAAAGGCCCTTGGAGTGTTATCAGCACTCTTCATAGGAAATCTTATTTGTTAATTTCCATCTAAATAATCAGTGAAATTCAACACTTCTCCACTGCACAGAGCAAGAAATTGCCAGAGTTAATCCACACGGTGACAATCAAAGCCTTTGCTGGACAAACTCACTTCAAATGACACAGCCCTTGTGCCAGAGACCGGGGAAACAAAATAAACAACAGAATGTAATACCATTTTCAGAAAAGCCTGAAATGAAACAAAGATTCTTCCAAACCCTGATCTCACAACTATGACATTTTGTTAATGGCAGTGAGCATTATTTCAAGATCTAAAAAAGATCAAAGAAAGATCAAACAAATGTTTTAGCTAGCACTCTAAAACTCCATGGTTTATTTTTCTACTCACGTTGCCACCTGTTACCTATACTAAAAATCTGTGTTTGTACATTCATTGTATTTTACTCAATACATGATTTCACTGCCTCACTTCATGGCCTTAATATTTATGTCTATATACACAAAAATTAATATTTTTATAAAATTTAATATTTTAAAAAAGCCAAACAACACTCCCAGTTTGAATTTTTCGACTGTGTAACTTAGCCCATTATCCCTGTCACTATTTACAGCATAATAAAAACATGCACATGAAAAAAAAACCAAACAAACACTGCTGGGGCTCACTCCAAGAAAAATCCAAACCTTCAAATACTTCTGAATTACTAATACTTCTATACAATGTCTTGGGGTTTTTTTCTACCTGTTTTTTTAATCACAAAAATTTCAAAATGACCGAATAAACAGAGATTGAGTCTGCTGCATGCAATATAAAAGCTGATTTCTTTCCTGAGAAGAACTCAAGAGGAAAGGCATTTATTCGGGCTAGAAGCATTAAGAGCAGTTGAGACTCTGTGGGTGCCATCACTGGGAGCAGCATGTCATCTATTCCAACTGATGCCATGTGCTCACAGAAGCCGGTATTTTACAAGGCACTGCAGCATATTTATACTTCCCTTCTACTTCCCTTCTTGCTGACACTCCTGTCCCTCCCTCCCACCTGACACATGGACCACGTGGGAAAGGCAGTGCCAAGGAACCATCTGACAAACGGATTTCACCCAGACCAAAGTGACCCTGACAGATGTGAGGCTGCATCCCAGGCTAGTCAGCATGGCCTGCTAACTGAGAGGGAAGAGAATTCTCCACATTCTGTTCCTACGACGACCTTGGATAACTTGGATCTGTTCTTGTGGGATTTGGAGCTCTGCTCCCGGATGGATGTGAGATGAGGTAATGCCGTTCAGACAGGGCTGAGCACTGAGACGTTACAGGCAGAGCTCAGCCCTTCTGGCCCCAGTTCTAACCTTGTAATTACACTTAACTGGGTCAGTGGAATTTCTCAGCTGCCACTTGTTTCTTTGCTTCTGCATTTCCAGAGTGCCGGTTCCATATGGACAATAAACTAATGGACTGTATTTCAAAACCATCTGACTGCAAGAAGCCCAGATTTGTGCTGCTCCTCCACACTGCACTGCAGGGTGAGCCTGTGCTATGCCTGCTGTCAGGGCGAGGCCTGGCCCTGACTGTCACCACGGCCACCCAGCTGCAGGGAAAGCTTGCAATTACCAAGGGATATACTCCTTAAAAGTGCTTTAACAACAGAATCTGTCTGAAGCACAGGGTAATCACATTTTTTAATTGACTCTGGGGTCATTAAAATCAAGCAACTTCGTTCCATGTCTTCAGAACTGACTAAAGTTGTGAAGAGGTATGTTCTATGTGGTTTGACCCTTGAAAGAGAAAATGTTGCATTTTCAAATCTCTAAAATAATGGTGGCACAATCAATCCAAGTGTTAATATAACACATGCCAAAACCAAGTGTCTGTTAAGTGAACCAGAGGGGGTTTGGTACCTGTCTCAATCTATTTACCCCACAAATACATCAGGATAAGCTTCTAAAACCTCATCAAACTGAACTCTCAGTAAGCCAAAATTAACCAGGGCATAAGCTTGTGCCACATCAGTCAATTATCCCTAAACAACCCGCACAGCTCTACAGATATCCATGGATATACAGGCACGCTGAGATCCCTTTCCTCCTGTTTCCTTTGCAGAGAGCAATACAAAAACCCACCAGCCCATAGGAGAAGGCTGGACAGTGCAGACCGAGGTTTAAACCAAACCCCAAGTCTTCAGTTCACCTCTGTAAGAGTTCTTTTCATTAAAATGCATTCAGCTTGTTTCTAAAATACCCATGTCAAATTAAAAAAAGGAAATTCAAAGAGAAAACACAGCCATAGAAGTAATAACATTCCCCCTCACCTCCATCTTCGATGGGTCACTGCTAAGGTTTTGACTATGACCCAAATTCTGCCCACAAACAAATTTTTAAATGAAACTTCAGAATGGATGTCTGGCAACATCATAAATCACTGTATAAATAATACCAACCCCCCATGAAAAGGCACATACTCATGCTTCCAATCATTAATAATAACAGAATCCCCTCAAGTCCACAGAACACCACCACAAGGCACATGGAGCAAGGACAGTGCTGCATATGCTCCCTAAAGTGCAGATGATACCAAAGCAGACGTTAAGATAAAGATGAAAATTGAACCTCCTAAACTCACTCCTCCTTGTTCCTCTGCTGGGAACAGCCACCCCCCCAACACACACATCACCAAAGAAAAGGCAATACCAAATACATTCACAGCAATTATTTGTGAGTTATTTGCAATTTCTCACACTGAGTGACCAGATGGAGAGAACCAGCTTAAAGGGTTTATTTACTGGACAAACCACGATTAAAATTAATACTTCTCTGCTTTGCTATAGTGAATTTTTTCAGCAGGACATCAGAATTCATAAGTCATCATACTATGCAGCTACTGAAATGTTGGAAGTTTCGCAGACAAACACTAAATATACTCGGACATAACCTTTCCCTAAAGCTCCCGCAGAGCCCGGTGCTTGCAGTCGTGCAGTACAGCCTTTTGCAGCCCCAGGCTGTGTCTGGAAGGCGGGATAGGCGGGCTCCGGGCCATCCTTCCCCGCGGCTCACGCACGGATCACCCGTGGGTCACATGTGAGTCCCTGTCTCACACCAGCCTCACATCTGTACCCCCTGGCTGCCCC